TGCTGAGTGAGCAGAGCTTCACGTGAGCGTGCTGAGTGAGCAGGGCTTCAAGTGAGCGTGCTCAGTGATCAGGGCTTCAAGTGAGCGTACTGAGAGCGCAGGGCTTCAAGTGAGCGTGCTGAGTGAGCAGGGCTTCAAGTGAGCGTGCTGAGTGAGCAGGGCTTCAAGTGAGCGTGCTGAGTGAGCAGGGCTTCAAGTGAGCATGCTGAGTGAGCAGGGCTTCAAGTGAGCGTGCTGAGTGAGAAGGGCTTCAATTGAGCGTGCTGAGTGAGCAGGGCTTCAAGTGAGCGTGCTGAGTGAGCAGGGCTTCAAGTGAGCGTGCTGAGTGAGCAGGGCTTCAAGTGAGCGTGCTGAGTGAGCAGGGCTTCAAGTGAGCGTGCTGAGTGAGCAGGGCTTCAAGTGAGCGTGCTGAGTGAGCAGGGCTTCAAGTGAGCGTGCTGAGTGAGCAGGGCTTCAAGTGAGAGTGCTGAGTGAGCAGGGCTTCAAGTGAGCGTGCTGCGTGAGCAGGGCTTCAAGTGAGCGTGCTGAGTGAGCAGGGCTTCAAGTGAGCGTGCTGAGTCCGATGCTGGTTGCCCTCTTGTTGGGTGCCAGCCAAATGCCTGGTAGCCCCGAACTGCCCCCGTCTTACCTCACCCCCCCCTTTTGAATTGCCTGAATGAATACTGGGAGATTGAGTCAATCCGCCCTTTTCCTAACCCCTTCGACTTTCACTCCCTGTTTTACCCCCTGCATTCCCTCTGAACTTCATCAAACTCATCTCCCCTATTTCACTCAGGAGGGGCTGGCCAACGAGCTCATCGTGAAGGGTATCAAGCTGAGGCTCGACTGGGGCCGGCCGAAGCAAGAGGCTATAGAAGGGGGGGGAGAGGGGGGAGGACAAAAGCTGCTAGAAGGGGGAGAGGGGGGAGCGGGTGGTGGGAAAGGGGGAGGAGAAGGCAGAGGAGGGGGGGCATCTGGTGGGGAGGGTGGTGCAGGTGGTGCTGATGGTGCTGGGGGGAGTGGTTCGGGAGAGGGCAGCTTCAGGATCTTGCCTCAATGTGTGGCAGGTTCGGCGGTAGGCCCGGTGACGTCTGCATCGATGTATCCAGTTGTATTTTGAGTCGACTCAAAATACAACTGCCTCGATGTACCCATCTATGAATCTGGAGAGGATGGGAGCTTGCACACGAAGCAGAGAAGGAGGTGAGGGAGGAGGAAAGGGGGGAGGAGGAGGGGGAGGGGGAGGTGGTGGTGGTGGTAGCAGTTGTGCTGGCAGTGGCGATGCTGCTGCTGCTGCATCTGCGTCTCCCGCATACTAATACCCACCCCATGCCTACCCCCCTCCTGGCCATACCCCCTATCCTGCCACCTCCCCTCCCCAGCCCTACCAACCCCCCCCAGGCATGCCTGCTCCAGGCGCCCCTCCCCTTCACCCAGGGGCGTACCAGCACCCACAGGGGGCATACCCTGGTTACTACCCCCCTCCCATTGGTTACCCCCAGCAGCAGCAGCAGCACTACCAGCAGCAGAAGCACTATCAGCAGCAGCCGCAGCAGTATCAACAGCCCCCATACATGCCACCCCCCTCCCAATATGCGCCACAGCAAGGCCCGCCACCCTCATACCCAGGTGGTCCGTCAGGTGCTCGGCAACAATACCCAGGTGGTCCTCACCAGTTCCCAGGTGCTCAACAACAGTATCCAGGTGGTCCTTCAGGTGGTCCGGAACAGTAGCCACGTGTCCTGCTAGGTGCACAGCAGCAGTACCTCGGACCTCCTCCGCAGCAGCCCTACCCTACTCAACAGTACCCTGGGCCTGGGCCAGCTGGTCCGGGACAATACGGCCCTCCCAGGCCTGGTGCCGGGCACAGGGTTAGGCTCGCGGAAGGGTGCAGAGCAGTGGGTTGTGGCGGACAAGGGTTGTGTGAGTGGTTCACGTTTTTTCCAGGTCCTTTTGAGCTGTGCTGGGCTGGTTTTGAGGCGCCTCAAAACTAGACCTGGCTCCTCCTGAGCCGTGCCTGCATCGTTAGGACGGACATGGTAGTATGATTTATGTACTCTTCTTCACTAGTGTTATTCACCTTTTTGCTGCTGATATAGTCTGATATGATCTGGTGTTACGGCCTGCTATACGTACCTTGCAGCTACGCAGCTTGCTGAGGAGTGTGCACTCTATATTCCACCGTGTTGTTTGTAGGTGCGAGTGAGCAGCTCTGGGTGCTGTTGGATCCGCCCTGCTGCTGCGTGAAGCAGAGTTGATTTGCGGAAAGACCTGCTCTAGTGGGCATTGTGCTTGTTGCAGGTTCCTGTAAAAAAAAAAAAAAAAAAAAAAAAAAAACGGTTGTTTGTACCTACTTTTTGCATCTGAGGTTGTCTCCCTTTCAGAAGGTTTGCTCTGGTTCAGTTCGGTGAGATCACTGCATTCGTTTCAACTACCGGTACTCCTTGGAGCACGAGTTAGTCTTGGAGATCATGCCCCACCTCACTCAAATGAGAGGAATGCTGCAGAGCCTCCTTAGGGGAAAGGCGGCTCTGAGGGGCCAGTTTTAGCTCTCCTGAGGCGATAGAACACCGTTCCTTCCCAATATGAAGGTACCGGTATTACAAGGCTGCATAAAGCTTAATTAGGAGTTTTTTCATACCACAAAACAGCCCTGTTACACCGAAAGACACACATTTGGAGGCCTACTCTCAGATGCTGTAAGCTGGCTCATATCTACAGTCTCTTCTCTGATGGAAATTGTGCAAATCTGGAGAGAACTAATTAGAGATTAAGTTTGACGATCTCAACAGAACATTGCGTGCAGCTCAAGTAACTTCTAGAAATGAGCTTATACGCGTTGGAAAGGTCTCATTCTCTACTTTCCAGAATGGTAAAGCACGTTCATAACCAAGATCTGAGCCGCCGATTATGACGAAATCAGTGTGAGGGGATATTCTGGTAATTTGGCTAGGCAGCCATGAATCACCTAGTAAAAACGAGAAGGGAAGCAGTTTGATCTGGAAAAGTTCGAGAATGAGATTGTCAAACACCACCAACCCTCGCCCTGGACCAAACCCTAACACTCCCAAGTGCCACATCTGCAACATCAAAGATGTTGTAGTGGGTTTGGGGTTGTATGGGTTGGAAAGGTAACGAGATCAAACCTAGCCAACCAACCCACATCTTTTGCCCAAATCCCAATAGCCCACAATCAGCTAGAGCAAACTACACCACAGAACACTACACATTTATCACTCCCCCTTGCTCGTGCTGGGTGTGGCTCAACACCATAGGGCAAAAGACTTCACACCACTCCCCCTTGCCCATGGGTTGGGGCCACCCAGAGCATGGAGTCCGCCAAGGAGATGAGCACCAAGACGCCGGCATCTGCTGCGGGAACTCTGTCATCATGGGGCTGCATCCCGAGCAAGGTCATGCACACACCATGACGCTCAAATGGAAGAGACTTGGTAAGAATATCAGCAGCCTGACGGTTGGTGGGGCACCACTGCAAAATCACCTCACCCGCAGCTACCATCTCCCGAATGAAATGCCACCGGACCTGCATGTGTTTGGTGCGGCCATGCAAGCATGCATTCTGTGCAAGGGCAATGGCAGGCTGATTATCCACAAACACAGGCACACCACCAGCATGATCATGGCCAAACTCCCCAAACAAACGCCTCAGCCAGACACCCTCCTGAATGCACTGACACAGACTTATATACTCACTCTCAGTGGTAGAGAGTGCTACCACGGGCTGCCTCTTGCTCTGCCAAGAGATAGCTGCCCCATTCAGACAGAACACATACCCACTGTGGCTCCTGCAACTTGCGGAATCTCCAGCATAGTCAGCATCACTGAAGCCAACTAGCTGGACCTGAGACTGGGGCTGTGTTTGGAAGAAGATACCTGACTTGACACCACCTTTCAGGTACCTCACCACTCTCTTAGCAGCCTGCAAGTGAAACATTTTAGGACAAGAGGTGACCTTAGATAGCTGTGAGACTGCAAAGGCAATCTGTGGCTGTGTGGTAGTACAAGCATACATGAGGGATCCCACAATGCTTTGGTAGAGCTTGACCAGCTCATCTCGCAGCAAGGGTTCATCCTCATAGGCATGCACATCAAAGCCTGTTGGGAGAGGAGTACGCACGGGGTTGGCCTCTGAGAGACCAAAGGACTGAAGCATGTTAAGAATGTACCTCTCTTGATGAATCAAGATACCACTCTCATCACGCTCAATTTGCATTCCCAAGTAGTACTTCACCTCCCCCAAGTCCTTCATGCGAAAACGCGAGGACAAGAAGTCTTTCAATCGATCTAGCAAAGCCTTGCTAGAGCATAGGAGCAAAAGGTCATCCACATAGAGGAATAAGGAGATCCGCTCCTCATCTCTCACAAAGTGGTACAAGGCAGGGTCACACTCAGATCTCTCAAACCCAAAATCCATGAGAGCCTCATGAAATTTTAGGTACCACTGTCGTGGGGCTTGCTTTAGCCCATAAATGGACTTTTTGAGGCGACACACTCGGTGAGAGCCATCATCAAAACCAGGGGGCTGCCGCATGTAAAGCTCTTCCTCCAAATCCCCATGGAGGAAGGCTGTCTTGACATCCATATGATGGATATCAAGCCCCAAAGCAGCTGAAATTCCAAGCATACCTCTCAAGGTCGCATGCTTCCCAACTGGAGAGTACACTTCTTCATAGTGTACTCCCAATTTCTGCGTGTTTCTCATCACCACCAATCTGGACTTAGGCCTCTCAATGGTACCATCAGGGTTATGCTTGTATTTCCAAACCCATTGACACCTGAGGACCTCCAAACCAGGTGGTACCACGGCTGGATCAACCAGCTCAAATGATCCATTTACCTTGTGAGACTCAAGCTCCTCATGCATAGACTCAACCCATTCGGGACGGTTCAGCGCCTCATGGACTGACCTAGGCTCATGCACCTGACCCATTAGACATACATCAAGAGCATAATCATGCCCATGCATGTCCACAAGCATGCAATCATCCAAATCAGACACAAGATGATCATGCATGCGTGCAATGTGGCCCGGTGAAAACCTTTCAGGTGGCTGGGAAATTCGAGCACTACGTCGCAGAGGTGTTGCCTCTCCTTCTTCCAGCCTCCGCAGCTTCTCCTCCCAAGTCACCCTCTTCATTGGAGTCCTTGGAGTCTTGGACAGCTGCTGGTTCAACAACTGCTGCCAACTGCTTCTCGATGGAGTTGAAGGCACATGCTGCTCCGGCTGATCATCACGCGCATCGGCCTGCGTGGCTGGCTGAGGGGTAGAATCTGTCTCTCGGGACTCCTCATGGTTAGGATCAGCTGGTTCTGGCTCCTCCTGCTGCTCCTCCCCTTCATCTCCAGGGTCCTCCCATGCCCCCTCAAAGATAGAAGCCGTATGAGGGTCTTGAATGGAAGTCCCACTTTGGCTTGTACCATGCTCCTTCCACCCCTTAAAATTCAGCCCCTCATGGAAAACCACATCACGGCTCTCCATCACACGCTGGTCAGCTACACTCCACAGCACCCAAGCCTTGCTCCTCTCAGAAACCCCAAGGAAGATCCCCCACTGTGCCTTAGGATCTAGCTTCCTCCTTTGCTGGTCAGGTACCTTATACTGTGCCATGCACCCCCACACTCATGCCATGGAAACATTCGGCACCTTCCCTGTCCATAAGGAGTATGGGCTCTTGCCTCCAAGCCCCTTGCTGCCCATCCTGTTCTTCACCCAGTTGGCATACTCCACTGCTGCCCCCCACCAAGTGTTATCAAGCTCGGCATGGGAAAGGATGGCCCGAGCCAAATCGGTCAAGGTCCTGTTAAGCCGCTCCGCTGCCCCATTTTGCTGCGGCGTGTAAGGTACAGAGAGCTGGTGGGTAATACCCTTTTCTTCCAAGAAGGTTTGAAGTTCTTTCCCAAGGTACTCTCCACCCCGATCTGACCTTAACACCTTCACCTTGGCCCCTGACTCCCTCTCCACATAGCGTATCCACCGCCTAAACACCTTCGTCACCTCATCCTTGGTCTTCACCAAGATGACCCAGCTAAGTCGACTGAAGTCATCAAGAAAGGTGACAAAGTATCTGTTGCCCTTTTCCCGGTCAGGAGTTTGCATCGGTCCACACACATCCGTGTGCACCAGCTCAAGGGGAGTCGAGGCATGATCAGAGGAGATAGGGAATGAGGTTCTAGGCAGCTTTCCAGACGTGCAGTCGGGACATTTGCTCTGCTGCCCAGCTCCTTCCTTGACCTCCACCCCCTTCAGCTCCCCCTTCTTCACACACTCCAGCAGTTGCTGCTTCCCCGCGTGCCCCATGCGAAGGTGTAGCAACTCAGGTGACACCGTTTCCACCTGCCTCCAGCGAGTGCTACAAGCGGCTTCCTCAGAAAAAACCATATGTGCCTTGTAACAATTAGGCACACAAGCTGGAACAAGGTATAAACCCTTGTCCAGCTTTGCCTCCATCACCACAGCTTCACCCTTTCTAACAGTACACCCTCCCTCAGTGAAAGTGCAGATGTATCCCTGTTTAGCCAGCTGCGAGCATGAAAGGAGGTTTGCAGCCAAACCAGGGACGTGAAGGACCCCCTTCACACCCACTAGCTCCCCCTCCTTCCCCTTAATGGTGATCGTGCCGATGCCAATTGCTTGCAGCAAATCTCCGCTCCCAACAATCACGTTCCTCGAGTTTGGTGGGAGAGGATGGTAGGAGGTGAAGAGATCACAGCGAGGAAGCATCCCAGATGTTGCTCCAGAGTCTAGAACCAGGAAGTTGGGATCAGCCAATGCACGACCAGCGAGAGCTGCATCCTGCCCTAGCATGAGAAACGAGAAACCATCATCGGAGGAGTCGTCTTGGCCCTTCCCCTTCTCATCCTTAGCAACTGCGGCCGTTGCTCCCTTGCTGCCCTTCTTATTCCAGAGCCCCTTCTTCATCCTTTTCTCCACCCAATCAGGTTTGGTCACTGGTGGGGCCTCTCCAGAGTAGCCGTGAGGCTTCCATCCCTCAGGCCTACTCCAGCAACTCTTCCAAGAGTGTTTTTTGTTGCATCCGGGCACAAGGCATTTGTCCAACTCTTTCTTCTTCCCCCCACCTCCTTGCTGTTGATAGCCTTTCCTGAAGGAAGCTTTATCTGCTGCACCCATGCCTCCTTCTAGACCTCTTCCAGCATCAACCTTGCGAGCCTCATCAGAAATTAGAACCTCCCAAATCCACACCTTGGTCCATTTCTGTTGCTCGAGGTGAAGGTACTGTAGTAATGCCTCATTAGCCGCTTGATCCAACCCTTGGAGCGCAGTATAGATGATCTCCTTCTCATCTACCATGTAATCCAGCTCCTCCAAAGCCCGCACATTCTCATCCACCCTCTGGAGATACTGAACCATGGTCTCCCCCTCCCCATAGTTCCGCTCCATGGTGTAAAACCGCTTCCGCCAAGTAAGCACGCTTAGAAGCCCTTTCTGCAAGTGCCTATCTTGTACTCTTTTCCAAGCTGCAGCCGCTGCACCTTCCTTCCCCTTCAGGTCAATCAGCATCTTAAGAAGCTCAAGTTGCCCCTCCAAAGCCCAACACAGGTACTGAAAAGCCTGGCGATCCTTCCGATCCCATGCTTCTTGAGCTTTGAGCAACTCCTCGCTACTTGGTTGCGACCTTCCGGTTCGAGTTGCAGCAGTTCCTCCTTCCTTCACCCCACTCAACGACGCTCCCCCAGCCCCGGATCCCACTTGGCTGGTTGCTCCAGTAGACGCCTCCCCAGAGTCAGCTCGTGGTCGCTTCTCCGATCCATCCAACACACTTTCTAGGTCCTTAATACCTAGCCATAGTGTGAACTGGAACCTCCATAGCGAAAAGTCCGAGCCGGTAAACCTAGGAGGGCCATCCAACTTTTGGGCCATGTCAAACCCTAGATCTGGAGCACTTCAAGCCTCTCTAGATCTCTTCCACTGGAGGAAAGAACGTCCTCTAACCGTGGCTCTGATACCACTGATGGAAATCGTGCAAATCTGGAGAGAACTAACTAGAGATTAAGTTTGACGATCTCAACAGAAGATTGCGTGCAGCTCAAGTAACTTCTAGAAATGAGCTTATACGCGTTGGAAAGGTCTCATTCTCTACTTTCCAGAATGGTAAAGCACGTTCATAACCAAGATCTGAGCCGCCGATTATGACGAAATCAGTGTGAGGGGATATTCTGGTAATTTGGCTAGGCAGCCATGAATCACCTAGTAAAACCGAGAAGGGAAGCAGTTCGATCTGGAAAA